ATCTGCGAGGACCGACTCCTGCCAGTTCCTTGGTGTGAAGAATTCAGTTTCAAGCTGAATGAGATTTTCACCAGGCTTCGAATTGTAGGAAAAGATAAAACCAGAGGAGAAATGAAAAACGAGATCTTCAACATGACAGCTGTCTTCAAACCACATGAAGAATGCGAAAAGCCACGAACCGTTTTTATTGAGGGGGACCCAGGTATGGGTAAAACAACATATTGTCAAAAGCTGGCATATGACTGGGCAACTACTCAAGAAAACTGGGACGAGTCATTTCCAATAATTGTTCTGCTGCTACTGCTAAGATGTCATGATATCAAATCTGACATTTGGGAAGCCATCAAAGAGCAACTTCTTCCCGATGAAATGGATGAAGTATCGAAGGCAAACTTTTATAAGTTTATTCGTGAAAACCAGTCCAAAGTTTTGCTGGTGCTTGATGGTTTGGATGAAGCAGACCAAAGCAAACAAGAATTGTTCGTAAGACTCGCTCAAAGTAAACAGCTTCCAAATTGCCTTGTTCTTTTCACATCTCGGCATGAGTCTGGTAAGGAAGTTAGGTGCCTCTGTGATACTCTGTGGGAGATAGTAGGATTCGCCAAAAAAGACGCAGAAAGGTTCATTCGCAAGTACTTTGGCAAGGGAAAACACTTGGCTGAGAAACTTCTCACAGAGATTCAATCAAGATCAGATTTGCGCAGACTCATATCCAATCCTCTAAACACAGCATTGCTTTGCATTCTGTGTGAGGATTTTAGGGAAGATTTTCCAACCAGCAAAGCAAAATTGTACATTGAAATTACACAGTGTGTCTTAAGAAGATATCAAAGAAAGAGAGGATCTCTGAATCCCTGCGAAAGTGAGGATTTAATACAAGTGTACGAAGAAGATCTTTTGTGCTTGGGGAAGCTGGCGTTAACATCACTTCTTAAAGGCGAGCCATATATTGAAGGAAGTGCAGTTACTGGAGGCAATACAAGGGCGCTAACCAAGCTTGGGTTTCTTTCTTTGCAGGCCGGAGGTAGCAGACGTAAGCCTTGCCTCCGTTATGGATTTCTGCACAAAAGTTTTCAAGAATTTTTCGCCGGTTTCTACCTGGCTTCTAAAGTCGTTGCTGGAGACACTGATTTGGACATTGATGTAACTGACGCAAGATTTTTGCGTGAATTGAGGCATGTTTTCCTTTTCATGGGTGGGATTATAGTCTCAAAGTCTGAGGAGAGCGCAATACATCTTTTGCGTGCTATAACTAAACATGCCAACTCGCTTAGCCTCGTTACTTCTTGTGATGGATTCAAAGAAGTCAAAAGAAGAGTAGAGTCGGCATGTTCTTTCATAAGGGAATGTGCCGAGTACAAGGAAAGTCTCCAGCCCATGTTGCTGCGTGAGTTTGGGTCTCACTTTGAAACCGTACCATCATCTTTGAAGAAGTCTCGTTACTTGAATCTTATCCTTGAAAATCTCTCAGGCAATACCACCCTGACAAACTTAAACCTATCCAATTTTGTAATTTCCGACTCCGGTGCCGAGTCATTGTCTAAGTCCCTCTCAGACAACTCAGCTATATCCAATTTAAACTTGAGTCTAAACGGCATTGGTCATGATGGTGCTAAGTTTCTTTCTCTGGGTCTTAGAGTCAATACCCATCTGACTATTTTGAACCTGAGAGGTAACAACATAGGTGATCCTGGTGCTGCTTTGCTCGCTGGGGCTATTTCAGGCAATAGGACATTGACCAATCTAAACTTAGGTTTCAATGAAATTTTTGACTCTGGTGCCACTTCCCTTTCTGAAGCTCTTTTGGACAATTCAGCTTTGACTGATTTGAACTTGAGTGACAACAACATTGGAAATACCGGGGCTGATTCTCTTTCTGAGGCCCTTAAACAAAATACCACGTTGACAAACTTGGACCTAGGGGATAATAGGATTAATGATTCTGGCGTTGTTGCACTCATCGAGGCTCTTTCGGTGAATATATCATTAACCTTGAACTTGTCTGGAATTACCTTCAATTCTGATGTACCTCTCCATGCTCAAAGCCGTCTTTCTTTCACAAGGTATCAAGAAAATGACGGTTGTGCTGATCGTGACGATGAAGATGAGATTTTTGATGACGATTCCGATTCCGGGAGTGACATTTATTCCAGTAGAAATGAGTCTGGCAGTGGTGAATCGCTTTCTAGTGGTGACACGTCTATTAACGATGAGGTACCAAATAGTGAAGACGAGCAGTTTATTAATGACGCTGATGATGAGGTCTCTGGTGAGGATTCCGGGAGTGACGTGTCTCAGAGTTGTGACTCTTCTTCCAGGAGTGACACGTGTTCCAATGATTACGCTTCCTCCGGTAATAACAATTCTTACAGTGATGATGAGGAGGACGAAGTTTATTAGTGAAGCTCCTACTAGATTCATCTTGAGAATAGCCTCTATAATAGTTTTAATCAGCTCTTACGGAGGTTTTATTTTATTAGATCGTTGTTCTATAGGAGTGGAGATGCCAGTTTTAAACTTCAGCATGGCTATGGTTTTTAATTGTTTATGGCGCACAATTGCTTTACAACGCTCACTTGAGTTGTCGAACACAAATTTAGTGTTGTACTTATAACTGTATTCTAGGGAATTACTGTATCATAATGTCTGTTGTTAACTCTTGAAGTGTCCGCAATAAATTCATTATGTTATAACTAAGACAGGTTGATAGTCATGATCTAGTTGGGTAATTCGACGTTATGTCAAAACATCCGGTGTTCGCCACCCGGCCAATAGGAAGTTCTCACTTAAGAACTTTGGAATTTAATAACTCTATATTCCCTTTCATGATTAAAAACCTGTTCAGTTATTCAGTTAACTGAGCACAGCGAATGTTGATAATTGAAAAAATGATTGCAACCAGAAATTTCAATTTGGGATGGTTTGTTTCAGAAATCACCAGAATTTTCTCGAAAAAATATTTCAACGCCACATGGAGTAACTAATTTTAAAGTCTGTCGCGATCTCATTTGAATTCTGTAATTACTTACCACAGAAAAAAGTGACATCTTGTAATTGCTAAATGTTCTTTAAAGTCACAGTCCTTAGAAACAAACAAAGAACAACAACGACCACAACAACTCAGAGTCAAAATGGCATTCGGTAATTTCATTCAACGATAGGGTTGATTTCACGGTTCTAGATTAAATTTTGAAAAATTTATAAGCACTAACTTCTCCGAGCACGGAGGCTGAGGGGTTTTGAGAAGTGGCAGCGGAAAAGCATGGCGAACTTTATTGGCTACACTGCGCTTTATCCTTAACTTTTGAGAAAGGCTCGACTCTCCCTTCTCTTCAACCATTTTCGTGTTTTATGGCAAATAAAGCGTCCAGTTTGATGTAGTTTCTCTACAGCTCTGCAGCTTCCACAGCGTTTCTCTGTCCACACTGTCGAAGGCCTTCTTATAGTCTATGAAGTTGATGTAGAGGGGGGAGTTCCACTCCAGCGACTTTGAGGTTCCCCTGTCTGGCTGCTCCCTCTGCCTGACTGGCCAGGTTTTTGATGTAATCCCTTTTGTCCTTCCTAATGTTCCTCTTCACTTTTTCCTCTTTTTCCTTGCCTCTAACTTCTGGATGGTGTCAGCAGAGATCCATTCCTTATGTTGGGTCGCCTTCTTGCCCAGAACTTCTTCTCATGTATTGTGCCAGAGTTTCTCGTTTTTTACCAATTAACCACTTAACTCCCTTGAGCGACCAAGACTGAATTTCTCCTTACAGGCACAATACAGTATCAAGCAAACAAATGAAGAGAGTAAAGGGAAATGTAAATTACGAGATTTGTTGATTCTATACTAATTTCTCCGCTGTAACATCCTATAAATTGTATGCCAGACTACAGAGAATTACTTCGAATTACCAATTAGATCTTTGGCGTGGAAGTGTCAAAAGCAAAAGTATCACATCACCCACGCGATTGTAGTTTGTGCCAGGGTCTAAGCTTCACGTGAGCTCGTTTGCCACTTGTTTGCAGTGTCAGGTCTTTGCTTCTCCTGGAAAAAAGGGGGAAGAAGCGCAGGCTCACATTCCCGAACAACGGCCGGTAATTGAGCCTAAGCTACTCGGGAAACGAGCACAACAACAGGCGAGTGAAAAGCAACGGAGTCGGGAAAAGAATAAATGCAAGACGAATGCTATTCGGCGCGGAGGCTATCCAGTGCGCTGCACGATTGTCCTGATGCTCTCGTTTCGCCTATGCGAAAAAAGAAAAGACAAAACAACAAAAACAACAACCGCTGATGACAGTGTTCGGAAGTTGGAGCCAATTCCCAACAACCGCAACTCCTTTTTGATTTTTCTTAAAACTTGGCCGGAAACAAGTCTGTTTCTTTCTTACGTCATCCTATAAGATAAGGTATTCCAATGAAGTAAATTTTTCTCGTCGACAATAACAAATGTCTCTCAGTCTCTTTAGAGGGAGTCCTTCACAGTCCTTCTCTTTCAAATCAAGAGTTAGATCAGAAAAATTAGTCGGGTGATGTGATGTTTCTTTGGCGAGATCACGGGGTGTGGTGCATCATAAGATAGTTCTGCTCGCTCCAATCGCCCTCCGACTCGCAATTACCACAATAGGGGTAAGAAGTTTCAAATGGCTCTGTCTTCTGACTTCTTATATATCGACTGGCCGTGGATATAGAAAATGACGTCCTTGCTGTCTTTCCACAGTGTACAGTTCTCAAAAGGTATCTGTAACAGCTCTGACACTTTCCTCGCCAGTCTAGGACCTAACACTGCCGCCATTAGCTCTAACCTCGGAACTGATGGCGCTTTCGTAGGTGCGACCTTCGCTTTCGCTGCAATAAATCGCACAGTCACTTCTCCATCCGCATATTTATGCCACACGTAACTTACAGCTGCATAGGCCAACAATGATGCATCCACCATAGTATGGATAGAGGTGTCTGCAACAATTTTCTCAGCAACACGATAGCACCTTGGAACTTGGACTCCAGAAAGTTCAGGTAACTAACTAAACCACTTTTGACACGTCTTCTTCGAGTCACTGGGGAACTCGTCATCCCAACATAAACCCAGTAACCACGTCTCTTGCATAGCCATCCTGGCCCTAACTGTGAATGGTGCTAGCATCTCTAATGGGCCAAACAGCATGGCTAGTTTCTTTAAAAAACCTCGCTTGGTATAGACAACATCCTGCGGGGGGTTCAATTTGAAGGTAAACATATCCGTCTCAACATTCCATTGCACCCCTAACGCCTTCATGCAAGGTAGTTCAGACTCCTCAATGTCAACATTCACCACACGTTCTTCCACAGGAACATCTCTAAGTACCTTTGGCCTGTTACTACACCAACGCCGTATTTTAAAGCCTGCCTTACCAAGCAGCTCTCTAAGCTGTTCTCGAGCTTTAATCGCTTCATCGTCCGTCTCCAATGAAGTCATAATGTCATCCGTGTACATTTGTAATAGGATAATGGTTACTGCTAATGGGTAGTTATCTCTGTTATCTTCTGCATGTTGTCGCACAACGTACTGGGCTAAGTAAGGTGAAGCACGATCACTAAACATTAATCTCATCGCTTCATAGACTTCGGGAGGTTTTGAGAGGTCTAGGCCTCCCCACAGGAAGCGGTGGTACCGTCTGACTTTCTTCGCCATGGTGACCTGTGAGAACATTTCCGTCAGATCTGCAACCAGGGCTACCGGAGTACTGCGGAAACGCAATAGCACATCAAAGACATCTTGCTGCAGTTTTGGTCCAAGCAACATGGTATCATTAAGGCTCACTCCGCCGTATCTGGCGGCTGAATCGTACACTATCCTCACTTTGGTAGTCTCTTTGTCTTCTCTTACTACAGGAAAATGGGGTAGGTACCAACTTGGGCCATTGTCAATTTCTCCTGGCTCCAGTTTCCAGATGTAACCCTTGGCCTCATTTGCTTCAATCACCTGACAATATTTCTCAGCAACGTCCGTTGTAAGTGCTTCTTACAACGAGAGAGTAGAGCCGGTCCTCAGCAATAATCCTGTTGCAATACAACGGCAGTTCATCGTCCTGCCATGGAATTGCCACTTCATAACGCCCCTTGGCATAACACCTTGACTCTGCCACCTTGCGCGTAGCAAGTACCTTTTCTGCAGTCAAAAGCTTGTTTTTATTAGTGATCCCCACCACTTCTTCATCCCACATCTTCCGCATCAACTCGTCGGCCCTCATTTCCGGAGTAAAGGTTGTATGGAATGTGTAGACATGGTTAGCAGTATTACCCTCGTTTGCTGTTTCTGAGACATGTCCGACAATTTTCCATCCGAGTGGTGTCTTTACCGCTACAGGCTCCCCACTTTCCTATGCGATGTTCAAGTGGTAGAAGAAGTTCCTCATGACTTCTCCATGTTCGACTGGCTTTTCTATCTCTAAATCACGAAGATGGTCTAGTTTCCAATCAACTGCTGTCATTTCACAAATTTTGGGGGTTGTCCACAGAAATACACATTTCTTAACACTCTCATCTATACTTTCTAGGCGCACAGTTACAGTTTTGTTATCTGTCACAATTGAATTTGCTCCAAAAACAGCAACACGTAGTGGTTTACGCTCAGTGTCCAAACCCAATATATCAGCGATCTCCTCCTTAAGGTAGGATGATCCAGAACCACCACCAAAAATGGCGTTTCCTCTGATCTTTATTCCGTTTTTCCCTTCCAGTATTACGGGTATCATCTGCAGGGCTACTCTCCCGAGGCGTGGTACACTTTCTTCAGTCACTCCACAAGTCGTATGATTAGTTTGTGTACCGGTCGCTGACGTGTCTCCTGCAGCTGCTTGCGAGGGATGGAATGTCTCAGCCGCTGCATTTAACTGTGCCAGCGCTATGACCGCATGAAGTTGTGGGTGGTGTCTTCGCACACACCCTTCGACTGGACATGTTCCTTTTAACGAGCAACGTTCAATTCGATGTCCTCTTTTGAGGCAACGAAAGCACAAACCCAACTTTTTTGCTAATTCCCATCGTTCATTTACAGCTAATTTCTTCCAAGTCTCACATGATGTCAGTACATGTTCTCCCTTGCACACAAAACATTCCACTTTTGCTCCTGAATTTGCATGAGTGTCATTCCACACATCTTTCTTTTTCTTGAACCACTTGGGTTTGTTTGAATTTGCCTTGGGTTTCTCTTGTGCAGAATTCTCCTTAGTACTGGCCAAACCAAAAGCCATCTCCTGGACTTGAACCTCTGTTCCCAGCCACTCATCAAGATCGTTAAGGTCAACTTCCTTTGGCTGCAGCTCTAACTTTCACCTGCTCCACCTAACAGCAATTTTCGGAGGCAACTTTGTAACAATCTGCTGCATATTAGCTGCTGCTCGTAAATCTGCTTCATGGCCATAAGTATTCATTGTTCTCACAATGGTGTGCAAGTTGTCAACAAACAATCTCAAACTTGACGTTTTTCCATCCTGAACTGCTGGTATCGCCAGAAACTTATTGATCAGTGACTTTGAAATAAGGGCGGGGTTCCCAAATCGTTGAGTTAACTCTGCAATGGCCTTTTCATACATTGTACCATCAAAACACGTCCCAGCCATAGCTTTTTCAGCAGTTTTTTTAACTGATGCTTCGAGATAGATCATTTTCTGTGTTTTGGAAGCCGTTGATCATACACTAAAGCTTTCAACATGCCATACCAGTTTGGCCACGCACAAGGATCTCCATCCAATACTGGTAAGTTAAGTTTAGGGAGTGAAGTCGATCCGTGAAGTCATCATTGCTGACTTTGAAAGGACAGACTGTGAGAAATCCACCATTCTCTCTTTGCCAAGCAAATGCGTTCTCTTTCTCTTCATCCGTTTCCTCCTCCTTAGGGCTCACTGTTTTCAACCATTTCTTAACTTTCTGTTCGGAGTCCTTAAGATTATTCATGGGTACATCTTCTTGCTTGACCAGGGTCGTTGTCTCAATCTTTACACTGTTCCCTCCCACTGGGTTATCCTCAAAATCTTTCATGCGATCAGACAAATTATATTCATCTAGCTCTTCGTTTAACAGCAGTGCCTCAATTTCCTTCCTACCTGTCTCCTGTTCAGCTTCCTGAATTACAGGTTCTGCCTCATGCTGAACTTTCTGTGTTGCCTCCTCGCATCGATTTTCTTCTGTTCTTGATTGTCTGGAGTTTGTTTTGACCGGGGACTTCGGTGTAATCGCTCAAATACCGCGGCAGATTCCTTTCACTTGTAACGATTTCACTTCGCTCGTCCACATCTGACACTTCTACGTGCGATTTCGCCGATTTTTCCGCCATGCTTCGATTCTACGTATGTATAATCCAAAACCAGATTTGATTCTCCTGTATCCGGCGCTAGAAGGACCACTATGGAGATTCCTAGGCGTGGGAAATTCTATCAGGGTCCTGGTTTAAGACACACTTCAGACATTTTCCATGTGCTCACAACTCAACGCTTTATTATTCGTTCCAGTCCCCACATGGGGGTACGCCTGACGCATACAAAAACAAACAAACAAACAAACAAACGAACAATCGCGTGTCCGGCTCGACTAGTAACACATTTTTTAGAAGTTTTTTCCTTCTTTGCAGGCCTCCTGTCAATCTTTTGGGAGTTCATGCTTGTGTTCACGACAATTTATTTTCACACTGTTCATCAGAAAGTTCTTGGGGCTTTGATAGCGATATTTACCAGGTATATCACTTATAGGGTCTGGTATCATGATGCACTGTCACCAGGACTGCCTTGGGTCCCTAATGCTAAAGTGACTGGTTTAAGTTGTTTTCACTTAACTGTGAAATTTTATCACAAAATTATATATAGAATAAATCATAACTTTGTCCTTGAATAAGGTCCCTGATACTAAATGAAGTGCCTAACTGAATTTTTCAGACTCCTTTTTCTGCAATGACTTTTGTTGCAGCTCATTTGTGGGAAGCTACCTTTTATTTTGAAGTTTGCTCTCAAAAGATCTTATTAATAATTAAGTAATCTCAAGAACTTGAGTCCTCTAACTGGAGAATCCAAGAAGTGAGTTTTGGCTTTCTGTTTAGTGTTGTTTATTGTCTGATATCAGTACTTATGTCTAACTAACTTTGTAGCCTGCAGGGCAAGCATAATTTTGGCAAGTGACTGGTCAGTATTTTCTTAACAAAAATTATGACCACCAACTTTGATTTTAATGGTAGCGGAAGGCTGGAGAGAGAAAGAAACTTGTACCAAGGGGGTGGCAATGGTCAAAAATAAGTAGAGGGGTGGGGTGGGGGAGTGAAAACCAACGTTGTGTCTTTTTATTTATTGAATTAATCTGAGCTAATACAGCTAGGAATATTTGGATGCTCCTGAGAAGCTGAGCAAATAAAACTTCGATAATGCAGGTAAAAAGTATGAAAAATATTAATGGCATCATCAGGTGGGAAAGGTCTGTTTTGAAATGATAATGTTATCCTTTGAAAATAACCCAGATGCTCTGTCTAAAAGTAAATGCCAGAAGAAGCAAGCCAATCACAGTCTGTGGAAGAAGTGTGGCACAATCAGTGACCCAAGCAGACTGACTGGTACAGATACAAACAGTAACTTGAGAATGCTTGGCCATTTTTATGCATTTCTTAACCAACTGCATGTAGGGAATAACAGGTCAAGGAAAGTGCATTTACTTTTAACCAGATTTGAAGGCAATCTTGATTTTTTTGTTATCTATCTCAATCTAGATTCTATTAATTTTACATTATCAACTGAGTTGAAAATGAAAATCGGCCACCATAGGGAGTTTCAATTAAAGCTAATATTTGGAGTGTAAGCCCTTCAGAGCAAACAGGGGCTAACACTTAAAACATTAGCTTGAAAGTCTTTACAGTGAACAATTTACGTGATCAACTCAGTTGATAATACTGAATTACCCTGTTATACTCACCCACCGTTGCAGCACCACAGTTTATTCAGAAACTTACCCCCTTTACTATTAGTTCCTGGTAGTACTGCTCCTGTCACTCTGAACATTGAATATTTTACTGGAACGTGGATTTTTGTCAAATTTGATAGTACTGACAGATCTACCTCCAGCGATGCCTAGCTCTTGAAAACAAATTCGTACTTTGGATGGCTTATCAGAGCCTGTTATGCTCTCAACGTTATGCTCCACCCCATCTAAATTTGTTAAGTGACTGCTTTATTCCAGTCTCTCCCAGAACTGCTAAAATTGTTAAAATACACATAGGAAAAATACAACCATTTCAGACAAAAAAAGTGAGAGTTATCTGTAGGAGATGAATTTACTTTATTTGGTATTTTTGTAGCGTTAATTTTCTTTTTGTTTCCTTCTGTCCAGGAGTCTGTTAATTTCGCAACCAGATTCTGCAGTGAGACTGTAACTGACGCTTGTCCATAAAAGATCTGGGTACGAGAGTAGGGGTCAATGTCAGGAACTGTTCCTGATACTTTAGTTTGTAGTAACCACTCTGATTTTTCCGAAAAATCAGGGGCAATGTGTCAGATTTTCAATAAAAGTGGCTATCTAGTTTCTGTCGTTCACGCGGGCTACCACCACGCCCAACGAATCGATCTACAGTCGGCACTACAAGCGGCTGAGAAGGAAAATACTAGTCGCATTCCATTCACTCTCACATTTCACCCTCACAACCACGCAGTTAAATCAATCATTCTTAACTTGAAATTTAAATTACTTCAAAACGATTCAGAGACTGGTGCTATCTTTTCGTAATCTCCAGTAATTTCATTCAAACGTGACGAAAACATAGGCAACTTTTTGGTCAGAAGTTCATTTCAAACCAATGACCAACCTGGAACTTTTAAATGCGCTCGGTCACGATGCAAAAGCTTTCCTTTCATTCATAACGTGAGGAAAATTTCGGGCCAAGATTTATTGCAACAAGTTATATATTGGTGAAACAGGAAGACGACTAGATGACCGATTCCGAGAACACCTTCGCGACGTTGAAAGAAATGACAAGGACGCATCTAAACCAGTCGCTAGACACTCTAATCAGATCTCCCAAATAATTCCCTAAGCAGCATATGACAGTTTGCGGCCTTTCCCTGCATCTAGGCAGTTCGGAAAGCCGCAAAACTGTAGAGCAAAAATTTCTTTCAAATCGTCACTCTTAATCCCCACGGTATCAGCGAGCACTTTTCATTCAACTAATTTATTCCTGTGTTCTCGTCGCCATATTCCCACAAATAGCGTGGCTCCCGCACACAACCCATAATTCCTCCAATTGCTCTCACGAAGGGCTAACACTCGAAATGTAAGCTTACAAACTCCAAACGGTGGCCAAATTACGTTATCAACACAGTTGATAATACCAGATAACCTTTTTATACTCTCCCACCGATGCAGCACCACAGATTCTTTAGAAACCTACTCCCCTTTTCTCGTGATACTATTTGATCTTAGAACTCCACTGCCTAAAAGGGCTATTACAACAAACTTACCAAACAAAAAGCGGACCCCTTTACCCCCTACGCCCTAACCCTTATCTAAAAGCAATAAATTATATGATAAATTATAATAGGTGTTTTTCTTTATTGTATTTCTTCCTTGTGGATTGAGGGCAATACGCAATATCTGCGAAAATAAGCCCGCAAAATTATCTTACTACACTGCGTAACTAAGCCTGGCTTGTAAACAGAGAAGTCCTGTCCTGGAGCTACACCACAAACAACTTAATCTGATGACGTCATTACACGTACCTGTGGGCGCCCCACAATATAACTGCCTCTTTCGATTTCGGTAACAATAAAGCCAAATTGCTGAATATGGTTCACCGGAGCATTCTTAATTCAGGTTTGTAGCTATGAACTGTCAACACTTTCAGCTTAATAGGAATCATGTTTGGCTAACATAAGTAAGTTAGATTTATTTGTAAGTTGCCTGTTGATATCGCAATTTCTGGTGGATCGACATTGATAGACATCGTTCTCTACGTGCGTGAGTTCACTTTATAATTATAACAAAATATTATGAAGATAACCCAACAGATCTAACGGTTTTGCTTTGCGAGGCTCGGCTCCTTTAAATGTGATTTAGCCGATCACAGCTGCAGTTAGTACAAAGTTAAGTCTTCAAATGAGGATCGGTTAGCAAGTGCTTGGGTGATGCATCAACAAACTGATTTTCGAACTTTGCAGTTTTGGCAGACAGTTATTGATGTGTTGGGATTGTATTTTCATTAAGCTGCTTGTATTATTGGAAATCA